AGCATACAGACAAAAATTTAGAAACCATGATAAAACTGCCAACCAGACGTACGTTGAGTTTGCGCGTGACAAGAGTGTTTTGTTTGATAAATGGTGCCAGGCATGTCATGTAAAAACTTTGGCGGAAATGCGAGAGTTAATTCTGGTTGAGGAATTAAAAAAGTGTTTGCCGGAGCAAATCGTTGTTTATTTAAACGAGCAGAAAGTATCCTCGGTGTTTAACGCAGCCGTGCTGGCTGATGAGTTCATTCTGACTCATGAAAGTGTTTTTTCTGTACCGACACCTCGTGCTTCAAATGTAATGCCTGAGCGCAGAAGGTCACCAAAACTGATATGTAAAAACACATCACCAGCTGCGGGGGAAAGCCGTGAGTGTTTTTATTGCCATGAGCCAGGTCATTTGATCGCTGCCTGTCCGGTTCTCAAAAAAAAAGAACACAAAACTGGTAAGACTCCTGCAGGTGTGGGTTTCATAAACACCGCGTCCCCGCCTGACAAACACACGGAGCCTCATGGGTTTGTTTCCTTAACCGGTAAGGAAGCGGATAAAGTACCAGTTACAATTCTGCGAGATACAGCCGCATATCATTCTTTCATGCTGGCTAATGTGTTGCCACTCTCAAACGTAACTTCGTGTTTTTCTGATTTGGTGGTGTGGGGAATTAAAATGAGCGAACTTAACGCCCCACTCCACATGATCCATTTGCATTCACCGCTTGTGTCGGGACAGGTGAAAGTTGCCGTGCTCCCACTGTTTCTGATTAGTGGCATTTCGTTTATTTTGGGAAACGACTTGGCCTGAGGAAATGTGTTTCCTCTGCCCGAGGTCGTTAATGATCCCATTGCTGCTGCGTCTGCCTGCTGCTCCCCTTCTGTCTCCTCTGATTTGTCTATGCCAAATGTGTTTCCTGTGTGCGCAATTACGCGTGCACAGGCTCGTAAACTGGGTGAAGCTGTGGATTTGTCTGAGTCGTTTATGGCTACATTAGATGAGGGAGAGCCCTCATATTCAGTGCACCCCACCACTGAGAGTGAAAATGTGGTAAAATGTGTCAATGAGTCTGATCTTTTCCCTGCTGATGCTGACCTGAGCTTGAATGTTACATGGGAAATGTTGATTGATGCTCAGAGAAATGATCCATCTCTAACTTTGTGTCTGTCCTCTGTTGTAGCCGCTGAGGAGGACAGAAGACCTGTCATGTTTTTTCTGGAAAATGGTGTTTTGATGAGACGGTGGAGTCCCGACTCCAGTGAGCTAAATGTTGTGAACCAGGTGGTTGTGCCAAGAGACTATAGACCGCAAGTTCTCAGTCTAGCACATGACTCTAGCTTAGCTTGCCACCTTGGTGTTATAAAAATTTATTATCGTGTGTTGCTCAACTTCTTTTGGCCAGGTTTAAAAACGGCTGTGGCAAAATACTGCCGCACCTGTCACACCTGTCAAGTTGTGGGAAAGCCCAACCAGCCTGTTCCGCCGGCGCCCCTGCATCCGATCCCGGTGCTTGGGGAGCCGTTTGAACGAGTGCTCATTGATTGTGTGGGCCCCCTGCCAAAAACAAAATCTGGCCACCAGTATATTTTGACAGTGATGTGTGCTGCGACGCGGTACCCTGAGGCCATCCCGCTACACACTCTCAAAGCAAAACCGGTTGTAAAAGCTCTCACTAAGTTTTTTACAACTTTTGGTTTGCCCAAAACTGTTCAGAGTGACCAGGGCACAAATTTCATGTCTAAACTGTTCGCACAGGTAACGAAAGTGTTAAAAGTCAAGCATGTAAAATCAAGTCCTTACCATCCAGAGTCCCAAGGTGCACTTGAGAGGTTCCACCAAACCTTAAAATCCATGTTGCGAAAGTTCTGTCTTGAAGTCTAACAGAGAGTGGGATGAGGGCCTCCCTCTCCTGTTATTTGCGGTGTGTGAAACTCCTCAAGAATCGTTAGGTTTCAGTCCCTGTGATTTGGTCTTCGGCCACACTTTGCACAGTCCTCTTCGGCTTCTCAAAGAAAAGTGGTTGTCGAAGTCGCCAAAAATCGAACATAATGTGCTGGATTATGTTAGTTGTTTTTGTGAGCGTCTCCACCACGCATGTCAATTGGCCCGTGAAAATCTGTCGTTATGACAAAACGTCTGTCCTTAGAGTGTTCCAACCTGATGAAAGGTCCTGGTGCTGCTTCCCTTACTTGGATCCAGCTTGCAGTCACAGTTTTCTGGTCCATACACGGTGGAGAGAAAACTCAGTGACACAGATTATGTTGTTCAAACTCCAGATCGGAAAAGAAAATCCAGAGTTTGTCATATTAACATGTTGAAACGTTATTTTTCCAGAGAGAGTGATCCCCAGCTGCCTCCTGTTGCGCCCATGATGTACGTGTCTGCTGCTCCTCCTCAGTACCACCTCTGTGACGACGGGTTGGCAGAAAAAAGCGGTTTGATGCCGCCCACTTGTCTGAGAAATTCAGAGGTACTGAGTAACTTGGAGGGTTTTTTGGTTCATCTGTCTGATTCGGCTCACGCAGATATTATTTCTTTGATAAATGATAACTTGCTGCTTTTTTCCGACCATCCCCGTCAAACCTCTGTCCTGTTCCACAACATCGATGTGGAGGACCACAAACCCATTAAGCAGCACGCATACCGCGTAAATCCGACTAAACGGGTCATGATGCAGCTGGAGGTGAGTTATCTTGTTGAGCATGGATTGGCTGTCCCTAGTACGAGTGCGTGGATCTCTCCGTGTGTTTTGGTCCCAAAACCCGATAATACTCCTCGCTTTTGCAGTGACTATAGAAAAGTAAATTCGGTTACCAAACCCGATTCTTTTCCGCTCCCTAGGATGGAGGACTGCATTGATCGAGTGGGCTCCGCTAAATTTGTGACAAAGCTGGACTTGTTAAAAGGTTACTGGCAAGTTCCTTTAATGCCACGAGCCTCTGACATCTCCGCTTTCGTCACACCCGACACTTTCCTCCAGTACACCGTTATGCCTTTTGGGCTGTGAAATGCTGTGATTGCTGATGCTCTCTCCAGAAATTAGTGATTCATATGGAATTAAACATCATAGGGGGATGTTTAAATTCTTGGGTATGGGGGTGTTACGACTGTTGTCGTAATTTCTTTTGTTTGTGTGTGTTATCCTGCACGTGTTTGCTGTGGGTGTTCTCTGTGTGTATTTTCTGTATGCAAATAGGTGTGTGCCACAGCCCGGCGGTGATTGGTGGATTGGATCTGTGTTCGTTCCTGATTGGCTGCCGCCAAGGGCGTTCGGGTTTTTAAAGGACCAAGATGGCAGTTGCTTTGAGCTAGCATGGAGACCTCACCTTCCTCCTCTCCCAACTGGCCACACGCATTGTTGTATTGTATTGTAATGAAACAGCCTTTTGAATATATTGTAAAGTAGGGGTGGACTGCCAGTTCTGTTGCAAACCTGTTTTTCTCCTGTTTATTTAATTAGGGAGGTAAAATTTTTGTCATTTGTTTCTTATTATTTGGTTAGGTTATTTACTCTCGTGATAGAATTGTTTTGTTAGTTATTTTGGCCTTAGTCCACCCTGAAGTTATTATTTCCGTTAATTCTGTTATTTAAATATTGTAAATAAATTTGCACTATTGATCGTTCAACATGTCTTTTTCATTGTGGCTACTTGGGACTTGGGGAAGATGGGGGCCTTTCATGTTGTGTCCCAGACTGGGCATAACATGAGTTTTGCATGGAAAGGACCGTAAGCCCAGTTTTCTGACGTACGCTCTTGATATATGAGGATTAATGTCTCTACGTAAAGCCTACAACAGCTACTGGAGAAACCTGCCTACATACCTACAATAAATTGTTAGAAACTAACAAATAGACTAGGTTCTTCTCATAATGCTCTACCTTAAATGTGTGATTCTCTCCAATAATTTTCAGATCACTACATCTTAAAGCTGCACTGAGACATTTTTGAGTTCAAGTGGGCAGAAAAAGTCACTGAAACACAGTCCCTATATGCAGCTAGCTAATAAAGTCATTATGGCAAACAATGACAAACAGCTAGACAAAGAAGAACATGTGCACCCCAGAGTTGGGACATGGAATTGTGTTTACTACTACCTGATGAAAATCACTGTTAAATGCACAAGAAACATAATGTATTTTTTCATGCATACTCAAATGAAAACCTTTTCATTGCTTTTTGCAGATAATGTAATTCTGTTGACCTCCAGCATGCACTGGGGCAATTTGCAGCCAGCCGAGCGTGGGTGTTTGGATGAGAGTCAGCACCTCCAAGTCTGAGGCCATGGTTTTCTGCCAGTGAATTGCCCCCTCTGGGCTGGGAGAGAGTTAGTGCCTTAAGCAAAAGAGTTCAAGTATCTCGGGGTTTGGAGCATGAGATGAATCGGGTGCTGCACCAGAAAAGGTGAAGAGAGAGCTGAGCCAGAAGGCAAAGCTTTCAATTTACTGGTCCATTTATGTCCCAACGCACACCCATGGTCATGAGCTTTGGGTAATGACCCAAAGAATGAGATTGTGGATGAGTTTCCTCCAAAGGGTGGCTGGGCTCAGCCTTAGAGGTAGGGAGCTTGGACATCTGGAGAGAGGTTGGAGTAGAGCCGCTGCTCCTTCACGATTTGGGCGTCTGAGGAAGATGACTCCTGGGCGCCTCTTGTTAGAGGTGTTCTGGGCATGTCCAACTGGTAAGAGGCATGGGGCAGACGCAGAACACATTAGAGGGATTACATATCTCATCTGGGCTGACGATGCCTCAGGATCACTTAGAAGGAGCTGGAAAGCGTTGCTAGGGAGAGGGACGGGAGTATTTTTCTCAGCCTGCTGCCCTCGCGACCCAGCTTCGGCTAAGCGGTTGAAAATGGATGGATGGACGGATGGATGGATGGATGGATATTTAAATGATATACAATGGCTGATTATTTGTTAAGTTAATTTGTGATTACCACCACACACAAAAACATTTTAAAAAATAAGGTTATATATCGAAGCTATATAATATATGAAACATACATCTTCATCTTTTGTGAAATTTTTATTACAATATCACAATATCCACATATGCTATCTAGAATAAATTTACAAATGAATTATGAAATGAATTGGTTCACAGCAGCATAAACTTCATACTTGACTTTAGCTGATGGAAGCTAAAAATCTTTTCCAGTTTGCCAAATACTGCGTTGCATAAATCACAGTTCACAAAACATTACTTAAGTGAATTTATTCAGTTACCTCATACTCTCAGACGAGCAGAAAAAATTGGACCACAATCTTGAATACCATGATAGCATTTTTTATCAAGTGTATACCAAATACATTTTCTCTACCAAACCTAACTGATAATTAAACAGATTTTTTTTTTTTTTGCTGCATTTAAATATTTGCCCAATCTGCTTTTAATATTTCTGTCATTCTGCACCACATTTAGTCAGTGTTAAGGCAAATAAATTTTAATGGTTGAGGGTCCTCCATGGTCAACATGTTTGTCAGCTCTTCATGTGGAGCAGAGGAGCACCAACTTTGATGGATCCTGGTGGTACTGTATAGATCAAACTATGTGGGTGACAGGACAAAACTAAGCTCCTCTCATTAATATGGAGGACTGGATTGTCCTTATGATTAATAAAACCAGTCCCACCAAAGCCCTGAGCCTTCCAGCAGTAGGATGAATCTTGCTTACCATCCAGAGGACTGGAGGAGGAGCACAGCAGTTGTCTGCTGTCGCTGTATGGCTTGGGGTACACTTTAATGGCCACCGAGATTTCGCTTTTCTCCGCTCATCCAGTCAAGCCCGATGAATGTCAGGCTCATGGCCATGAATATAAAACCAAGTGCAGAGAAACACGCAGCCTGAAAAACCCGAAGACGATACGTCAATGTAGAATCACCAAGTCCAATTAGTTTTACCTCCATTAACTCTATTGTTGTGTCAGCCATCTTAGTCTGAGGGAGATGTGAACCTACCTGTATCTTGGGTCTGGACTTTATGGGCTCCTGGTCAGTGGGGATGATGCGAATGTAGAACAGTCCAGGGAGGATAAAGATCAGACTGGGAGCAGTGGTTGCCCCTAGACAGAGGAGGCACAGTAAATGTTATGTAAAACAGTAAGTAGTGTCAAACAGACTTGATCTCAGAGAGAACTGTTGCGTGTGGTGAATAAACCCACAGAAAGAGCAATCTGTTCTTTGCTGAAACTCGAGTGTGGGGACCAGCTGTGAACTGCATCTCAGTTTGACAATACATTGTTGACTCTGAACTTGCAGTTAGACTGTAACTTTTGAAAAAAGAAATAAAATAATTCTCTACTTGCAAGTGAAGAGTTGAACTCATACGCAATAAAACACACCCCACTCAAGTCAGTGCACTCAGGGATTTGGCTGCTTAGGCTGCTATGACCAGAAGCTTAGTCTGAAAGCTAATGTTAGCTACTGTTTTCAAACGTTAGACTTAAGACCAGTGTTCTTTAATGCTTTTCAGGTCATGGACTACTTGAGTCAAAGAGGGACAGAGCAGGGACCCACTACTATATATATACTGTGTAAAACTGAGTTGTACTTTAGGTAATTCTCTTATTATTTTTCCATTTTCTCTCGTTTGTGCTGTAGCTGTAAAGTCAGCAGCAGATGTAGCATGGCTATGTGCGTTAGCCTCACCTTCTGCACTTTCACTTGTGGTTTCTGAGGTGAACGGTGTGTCGGAGTCTCTTGCTGAAAAGTTACAAAACAACCCATTGTGGCTCACAAGAATATCTGTACACTTAGAATAATGATACAGCTAATTGGCAATAGCACATAAATATTAGCAAACTAGTTCACCTCATCGTTAGAGATAAGTACTGCACAGTGATTCAGCTTTCATGGTTAAGGGTTAGCCTATCATTAATATTGAAAATTAAATGTTTATTTTTTTTATGAACAGGCCAATACATCTTTGCTAATAATAGGTTGGATTTGTGTCAGTGTGTATTTCACCAAACAATAACTAAAATAAAAAAAAAGAAAGAAAGAAAGAACAAACAAAACAAACAAACAGAGCATAAATTATCAGACAAACATTTGACAGCTCCCCTGCAGTAATGCTGGGGGCCGTGGACCCCCTGTTGAAGACCTAGGCTTTAGACTGAATCAGAATCATCTGACTTTATGACTCTTTTCTACTTCTGCCACTCAGCAAAAGTTAGCCTTGCTTTCAAGACTTTTAATTTAGAATACAGCAGCAGATTTGGCCCTAAATCATTTAGTATTTTAAAATCAATTGCTTTTCACACAGGGCACCATTCATGACCCAAGAGCTGAAGTCTGACCTGTTAAGACACCATTTAAGTAGTCAAGCCTTCTAGAGCTCTTGCTGACACAAGTCCTTTAATTCTTGATATAATCTTAAAATGACAGTTGACTGATTTAGTAATTGAATTTAATTTAATAAGTGAGGATGTTAAGATTTAGCCCTGCGTCTACAATTACTCGGTGTTCTAACCCTGGGACTGTAGTCACTTGGTGATAATGTTATGTAAATCTGTCATCTATATTATTGTGGTAAAATATTAAGTTCTAAACTAGTGGGGACATAAAGATGATGAACTGAAGAGGCCCAGAATAGAGCCTTGTGGAACTCCCTATTTTTGTTTGCTCAGATGTGTAATTACTGACTGACACAAAGTAGTTTCTTTTCAGGTTTCAAACCAAAACTATTAGGATATAAACCAGTTTAGAACAGATTTTTAATCCTCTCTAGGAAGGCATCACTGACATCTAATAATACAAAGGCTCAGTTTTTTTAAATTTTTTTTTATCACATACCTGGAACAACTTTACACAAAACTTGAGGTCTGATCCAACTCTCTGCACATATAGTTCAGTTGTTCATTTGACATAGAACTCCAAAATGGCTTATATATTGAGTAAGAAGATATTATGGAAAATAAGTAAATGATAAACAAACATCAAAAGTTAGCGACACAATTTCTGTTTTTATGTCAACTCGTGACGTAATTCCTCTTTTTATCCTTATTCAGAAAAAAAATAAATAAATAAAAAATCACTAGAGTTGTTTCTTTTCACAACATCCCAGGCTTTGTTCAGGCTTTCCTGAGACTTCCGAGTCTAATATTCCACCTGTAATGCCAAAGATGTCTCGAATGTTCGGAACAAGGATGACCAGCAGGTTTACAACAAACAGCAGACACACGGCGATGGCAATGTGACGGAGCCAGTGGAAGGACTTCCCTGGAAACAGCAGCTGCAGGAGGGCGCGGCGGATCTGACAGAAACACAGACATAAGGACGCAGTGTATCAAACAACAGTAAAATGCCTGTGTATAAGAACTCCTAGCATAGCAGCAGGAGAAATATTTTATATACAGTTCACACTCACTACCGTATTTTATCATCAATCAGGATGAAATATTCCACCCACAAAATGACCACTTTATCAATTACTACCCATCTTATATTTGTGAAGAAAACTTTGTTTTTCTCACATACCTCCATGCTGAATGAAGAATCCAAAAACAGATAAAATTCTTGATGAATTGAAGTAAAAGGGGCTGTGTTTAGCAACAGCAAAACTATATTATAATTTATAACCTTCATTTACAAACTCACACAACTAGTGCAGTGTAACCCAGGTCTTATTTATTCAGTCGACATTTTGCAACATTTGCATTTTCACTAAAACTTTACAGTTTAAAACACTTCTGCATGCGAGTATGCACCTGGGCAAGCATACGCGTATGAACTCTGCCAGGTGAATTTCAGTGAGCAGAATTTAAACTCACACATGTGCCCAGGCACGCTACTTATCTGGGGCATGAGGCTGTTTATGTGGAAGTGTTTAAAAGCATAATGTTTTAGTAAGAATGCATGTGTTTAACCCTTAGATGCATGACCTACCAATACCTACACTCTTCCATAAGTGGGGTCAAAAATGACCCCAATTAGAATCAATGCGTTTTATTTGATAAACTTAAGCAATTTCTTTCATTTTGGTTAAAGATGATTATTGTATTATATTTTGGTCAACAAAAGAATGATTTCATGTTTGACATGTTCATTTATCACTTTTTATTAACATTTTGACAACTAATGACATAATTGAATAATCAATAATAGTATAATAGGCTACCTAACGTGTTAGATTTTATTACAAGGAAGCTATAAATATAGTGAGTCTGCTTATCTCTACACAACAAATGCAGTAATAAACTACACACACACACACACACACAGACAGACAGACAGACACACATTTACTAATGACATCATTGAATAATCAATAATAGCATAACAGGCTACCTAACATGCACGCACGCACACGCACACACACAATAATGGTAAGATTGTATTACAAGGAAGCTATAAATATCATAGTAGGCTGCTTATCTCTACACAACAAATGCAGTAATGTTAGCTAGCTAACATTACAGTACTAACATTACATAGTAGTTAGCTAATTAGTACCTACATTGTACTTAGCTAACACTAGCTAACTTAGTTAGCTAGTGTTAGCTAACTACAAAGTAGGCTAATTTGATGACAATAATATTATACTTTATCACACAAAAATCATGGATGTGGAAAATAAGTTCATATTTTATAACGTCATTTGTATTCCAAGATATAAAATGAATATAATACTAACATGTCTGTTGCTGTATAAAAATCCTCCTGGAGACTGCTGGCATTACATGTATAAGTGCAACAGTAAATGTATACCTGACAGTCACAGTCAATAAGAATCAAAGATTCCTAGGTCTAACCCTTGATATTCCATAGGAAATGCTTGGAGTCACTTATGGAAGAGTGGGGTAGTGATACAAAAACAACAGTTTCTTAAAATGTATATACTTTTTTTGTAAAATGCAAATGGCCTCATGTCAAAAACATGTTTTATGAGGAATACCTGGAATATGAAATGATAAAAACTTTTAATTCCGTAGATATTGAAGAAAAACAACCCCTGGAGTCATTTTTGACCCCACTTATAAATCTAAGGGTTAAGAAGTCCTGAACATTCAACTGGATAAATGAGACTTGGCTTATACCACATAAGTTGTATGACAAGTTGTAAACAGACGTTTTGATATAATTTTGCTGTCGTTTAACACAGCCCTCTTTTACTCCAATTCATCTAGAATTTTCTCACTGTGCGAAATTGATATACAAATCTCTTCTCTCTTCGATCTCTTTGTAGGTGATGTATCAAACAACTTTGTTGAATAAAAACTGGATAACCCAAAATCAACAAGTCATTTTTTTTTCAATTGTTGAATTTATCCAAAGAGTTCAAGGCTCAACCTCTAACTTCACCCCACCATTAGTCACATGGCAACAGAATTTGAAGATGTGTGAATGGATGTTTCTCTGTGCACTGCCCTTTGCAGCTCATTCAGTTGTTCAGTTGTTATGGACACAACTTTTTTCAGTGTCTCATTCTTTTCAGTGATGATTTATCAGAATTAAAACATGTCGCTGCACTGTTAAATGAAGTTAGAAATTGTACTGCTGATTCAACCGGTAGAATACCTTGTCCATTTGGGCCATTTTCAAATAATGGAAATGTATAGAATAGCTAGTAAGCTATGCCAGTGAACCTGCATGCATTACCGGCATAATACCTCCACTATCAGTGGAATAAAGTCATCATTAACATTATTATTATACACACCTGTGCTTTTGCTATAATAACTTGTCAAAATGTCTGCTTTGAAAAGCTTTATTGTAAGAGCCCGATATTGCAATGGCGATGTAGTGCTTTTGTAATTAGATGATCTGTTTGTCATTATTAATAGATCTTTTCCTGTAATTGACCCTTTCCCAAGCCCCGCCTCTTTGTGATTGTCCTTAAAGCTGTCTGAGCAAGCATTGAGCCCTCACTGTAACTAACTGCACTTCTTGCACATTTTGGAAAAATGAAAAAGTAATTTTAAAGAGAAGGAGACAGAGGGGTCTACAATATGAGTTTGAAGGATACATCTAGGGTGTCAAACTGACACAGCAGGAGAACAGTGTTGGGATTCAGTGGACCACAGATGATTTGTCATTTGTCAAAATCTAAACTGAACATGTGAAGGCTTTTCTTCTCTGCATGCTCTTTGTTCTTCAAACAAAGACAGCCATCTCCGCAGGGTGCCTCGATCTCACACGGAAGTGAGACCAGTCTCCAAACTTAATTGGACAGTACTTATACAGTAACATGTGACTCTGTGATGTCACCAAGCAAACTTTAGGAGAAGCCCACAGCAGGAACAAAACCTGGAGACCAGAGAGGTTAGTGTGCCAAACACAAGATTTGCAACTGACTTTTCAGCAACAAGGAGAACCAAGTTGAGTTAGCACCCCAATGCCTAACTCTGCAAGGACCCGGAGCGACTGGCTTCCTTGGATCTGCATGTTCAGAACAAGAACACAGCAAAGGCTGCACCCAGAACCATAACTCTTTCCAGCCTTCGTCTGCGGGCTTACAAAAGCAGCACACCACAAAGCAACGCTTCCTTCCATCCATTCAAGGATTGGTAATGTAACAACTGGGCATAGCATCACCACAGCTGTACAGGCTAAGCAAGACTGTTAAACTTTGTCAATTGTGATTTAATGCTGTTCACTGAGTTATTGTTGTGATTGTTTGCAGTTTACGTTATTCGTTAGTTGGCTTCGCCAAAGCTAAATCATGTTCATTTCATTTCATTTCATTTATTATACAATAAACGATTAAAAGTAACATTATAGTTACAGTTAAACTGGCCTGACTCAGTTTAAAACTGGTTTACAGCAGGTTCCTGTTCTGCAGCACATATAGACATAACAAAAAACACAGTGCAACAGGACAGTCACATTCACAAGACATTGATCACAATCACAACCACAAGACATTAACTTAGTGTAGTATGGACAATTACAAAACAGTACAAATATAGATGGTCAGTGATTGCAGGTGTATGGGGTGCCGTTTGTAAAGTGGCTCACGCTGAAAATAACATCAACATTTTGCCACATTTAGCTTCAAACAATGTTTAAAAAAGTGTTGTGAATTTTTTAACATCACCTTTTACCACATTTACAGCAATATTTGTTAACTTCGAAATATATTAAATAGTTAAATCTAAATATTAAATGTGGCACCTAAACGTTAAATGTTAAATCTAAATCTAAATCTAAATATTAAATCTAAATCTAAATGCTAAATCTAAATCTAAATGTTAACAGCTAATGGTTAGCCCCGGTAATCTACGATAACCATGTTATTAATTACAAAACGTGCACACAGAAATAGTGATGTTTGTTCAATCATTGTGTTTATAGACTTTACAAACACCAGATTAGTCTAAACGGTGATATAGTGACGTGAAAAAAGTACATGTCAAATAAAATTTCTCCAAACATGTTTTTTGTTATTTTAGGTAGTTATTATCACGCTAATATATGTTCAAGTGTTCATTTCCCCTGATAAGTTGGTTTTAATTCTAATTCTAATTATTTTGGTACTTCCGGTGACCGGCAGTGTGAATTTTCAAATTTGTATTACTATTTAGTTTCACCCAGAACATTTAGATTTAACATTTAACATTTAGATTTAGATTTAACATTTAGATTTAGATTTAACATTTAGATTTAGATTTAGCATTTAGATTTAGATTTAATATTTAGATTTAACATTTAGTTTTAGATTTAGCATTTAGATTTAGATTTAATATTTAGACTTAGCATTTAGATTTAACATTTAGATTTAATATTTAGATTTAGGGTTAGGGTTAATATTTAGATTTAACATTTACAGTCAGGTCCATAATTATTTGGACAATGATACAGTTGTCGTCATTTTGGCTCTGTACACCACCACAATGGGTTTTAAATGAAACAATGAATACCTGCTTAAAGTGCAGACTCTCAGCTTTCATTTAAGGCTTTTTTCAAAAATGTAGTATGAACCGTGTAGGAATGACAACCATTTCTTCACACAGTCCCCC